GTTAGGGGCACTTAGTGGAATTAATGGTGAGCCCACCTCAAGCTGCTTCATTAGTAGAAAGCTTGACAGGGAGCAAGGCTAGAAGGGACACAGAGTTTACATACTGACTATTCTGGATACGCTGGTTTATGAGGATATGGGAGGTGGCTTTGAAGGACTCCTTGAAACTTGTGAGCCATAACAATGATGGTGAAGCCTTGAGAGAAAGTGAAGTTATAAATGGAATGGATCAAGAACAAAACTTTGGTAAAATCTGGCTTAAGGGTATCTGGAAGGTAAGAGACAGAAAAAGAGAAGTAGAACGGTCAAAAAAAGCAGAAGAGCAGACTAGAGTGGTGACATAAGAGAGTATTTCCAGGATAGTGACCCATGGTATTAATACCTTAAAGAAGCTGAAGAGCAAGAGAAATGAAGAAGCAAGTGAAAACAGTCACTGTGCCCACCATGGCCTATAGGGTGTGTGCTGGGCTCATGGTATATCAGTCTCATTCATGGCATTTTTCTGAGTTTTTGAAATCAGTTTTCCTCAAAGTCATAGAGTGCATTGCAAAATCACACTCTAGGTTTCATTCCAACTATCCATGTGCTAACTGTAGTCAACTTTCTGAAGAACTATCTGCCTTTGAACAACTCAAGGGTTTGTTGAGTACCAACATTTGCCTCTCTTTGATCTTCCATCCCTCCTCTGCTCAAAGGCAGTGGTATCCCTCTGATTTCTCCTCAGGACCTTTTTTTATCTCCGTAGGTAGTCTTCCAAGTTCTGAAAGAATGTTTTCCAATCACTCTCCTCTGATTAAAACATACCTATCCTGTGCCCTGTAGGCCTGTAAACCAACATTTATTCAGCATCTAAGGTGAATGGATTTGAAGGTAAAGGTCTATGGTTTGTCCTTAGGAGACGTTCACAATAGTGAGTGACACGTTCATAAGTAAGTGTCATATAAGGCAGAGTGATGTCCTCTGGGAGCAGAAAAGCAGAGGTGATTTAATTCCAAGAACAAAAAATTTATTCTGCTGAAAGCCAATCTGATAAACTTATTTGAGCTGATAAACTCATTTGATGGCTGAAAAGTCAAGGTGAGGATGACATTTACCTTTAACTAGTCTTTTTAGTTTTAATCTAAGGTACTAAATAAACTGATAATTAGGGCATTATACTGACGGGAATTTTTGGTTAAGGGCAACTTGTCTAGAATTTCTTTAACAAATCAATTTCTTTGGTGGCCATAGGGCTAGTGTTTTTTTTTTTTTTAAATAATTTTTTATTTTTATGTTAATCACCATACATTACATCATTAGTTTTTGATGTAGTGTTCCATGTGTTTTGTTTTGTTTTTAACATAAGGCTAGTTTTTTTTTTCTTATTTGTGAGTCCATGATATCCTTAATTTCATTTCTTTACCATTTCTTCTTGCTTCCCCTGCTTGTGGTTATGAGCTCAGAGTAGATGTTTAAATCAGATGTGCTGTAATCACCTGAGTTTGCCTAAATTCCTTATCAATTGCTCTTCTTGTCAATTATTATTTTCTGTTGTTTGTGCCCTTTGTTCTTTGGCCTTTGTAAGGCCAAGATGCCTTAACATTCCCCTCAGCCTGACTAAACTTCAGACAGGCTTTTTCCTGACCCAAGCCCTCTGACCTTTCCTTAGAGCATTTACTTTAGAAAACTTTTCATTGTAAATTCTTTGTCTGCCCCATTGCGAAGTAATCTCCCAGCCTCTTGCCAGTTTTACAGCCCAGGAATATCTTTCTTAAGGACACGGAGACAAATCTTTGAAACGCAATCATTGGAGGAGATCTCTGATTCTCTTTTGGAGGGTAGAAGCCTAATTTTCTAATTGGGACAATTAGCAAACACAATTGACCACCTTCCCCATTACTAATCTTCAGGACTTTTGCAATAGCTCACCCCAGTACTTAAAAACTCTTCCAGGGGGGCGCCTGGGTGGCTCAGTAATTAAGTATCTGCCTTCGGCTCAGGTCCTGGGATGGAGCCCCGCATCGGGCTCCCTGTTCTGCGGGAAGCCTGCTTCTCCCTCTCCCACTCCCCCTGTTTGTGTTTCCTCTCTCGCTGTGTCTCTCTCTGTCAAATAAATAAAATCTTAAAAAAAAATAAATAAAAACTCTTCTAGGGAGTTGAGTTCAATCTCTTTTCTCCTGCAGTAGGTCCTGACTGCATTGTAATAATCTTGAATAAAGTCTTCCCTGCCTTAACTCCTTCATGTGCAATTTTTCTTTGGCATTTGTAATTTCCAAAACAAAGACTCTCCTTGGCACTTTCTTTTGCTGTTTAAAAAAATTATTTCTAGAAAATACTTAGCTGACCGGATTTACAATTTCTTCTTTCCTTTTTAGCTCCCTCACAGATTCCTGGGGGAACTTACTTTCCAAGGCCTGATGTCAGTCTTCCCTGATAACAGTTTCCTTGTCTTGTGTGTGTGTGTGTGTGTGTGTTTGTGTGTGTGTGTCTTGCTGATAGAGCTGCTGGGGTAACCCATATATTTTTCAACTATTTAACACATTCTCAAGGAGATCACCTCTCTTGTATGACAGCCTACCTATCAACATCAATTCTTCCTTTGAAATCAGCCGGTTGTCTTATCTGGCAGAATCCCACTCACTGTGCACATATCCTACTTAGTGTCAATCTAAATAGGGTGCTCACGAAAGCACTGTTAAGGTAAGATGTGTTTTCCCGTTTTGGGTCAACATCTGAGTCTATTATTTAGCATACCCAAGGAAGAAAGACACACATTTGTGTGGCTTAACTCTTCTGATCACTAATCAGAAGAACTCATAAAATGATTCAATAAAGTGCATGACATCCTGGAGAAGTTTCTATGAGAAGATAAAGTTACCATTTGGGAAATGAATGCACCATTTTCCCATGTCTCTCTCATTTGAAAAATTTAGAGCTCTTCTGTTTCTGTGGCTATAAAACTTACGTCAATCATCCTTTGACATTTGTGACATCCGTATTTGTCTGTGCCAAGGACTGCACCAGGTTTAGAAGGAACTGGGACAGTGTACTTAAATTTGGATAAGTATTTACAAAATCATGAAATAAGCACACTTTTATAATTCTTGCAGTGTGTTGGCTGATACATCTTTAATGTAACAATGATAAATTCAAAGATTCCCCCCCCCCAGACTTTACTGCTTTGTTATATTCAATATTAATATATTTTTCTTTTTCTGACAAAGCACTGGCCCATGATGTATGGGGCTCCTGACTTTCAGTCTAAGAATCTATGGTATGGGAGGACACCTGTGCTGGCTTGCATTTTGTGGAGATAGGAAGAGGTAATTAGGTTCCTTCCTTGGCTACATTTGTATCAACAAAGGGCACAAATTCCAGGTGGCTAGCCATGCCAGAAGTGAAGATATAGGACCAAACATGGCTGAGGAAATTGGAAGGTCATGGCTGCAACTCTCTCAGGCACTATAGACAGGTCTCTGAAAGTGGAAAAAGCAAGGAGCATGATTGAGATTCCTCACATCAATTTCAATTTTCTTTCCTTTTTGTTAGTTCTAACGCTGTCTTGGTGCCTCCAGATTATTGGGAAATGATAAAGAAAAATATGAATCTTATTATCTGGGGCTTTCCTTTATCTGCTCCCAACCCTCATTCTTGCCAAATCAGTTCCAGTCTTCAGTAGAAACCTAATTTTGTCTACTGCCTTCTCAGAGAGAAAGGCTTACAACTCACTTCTGCTCATCCTTATTCCTTATGCAAGGAAGGAGAGATAAAAAGACAATAAGAGAAGTGTATTTTTTTTCTTTATAACATTGAATTTGAGGTGTGTGCCCCCCACCACAAGTTCTTCTTCTTTATGAATAAGAAACAGTGGTTTGTGGGGCACCTGGGTGGGCTCAGCTGGTTGAGTGTCACACTCTTGATTTCAGCTCAGGTCATGATCTCAGGGTCGTGAGACTGAGCCCCAAGTTGGGCTCTGCACTGAAAGTGGAGCCTGCTTAAGTTTCTCTCTCCCTCTCCCTCTGCCCCACCACCCCTGCTGGTGCATGCTCTATTTCTCTCTTTAAAAAAAAAAAAAAGGAAAGAAACTATGGTCTGTAATGGAGACACCACCAGCCAATTACTTACATGGCAACCAGACATTTACATAAATCAATAACCTTTATTTAATGGATTCTCCACTGAGGTAAGTATAGTTTTGGTTTGGTTTCCCTCATGTAGCAGGTTACCTCTAAGCTCTTTTTTAAGATTGATTTATTTATTTTACAGAGAGCATGTGTGTGAGTAGTGGGGAGGGGCAGAGGGAGAAGGAGAGAGAAAGAGTTTCAAGCTGTCTCCCCATCTAGTGTGGAACCTGACTCTGGGCTCAGTCCTAGGACCCTAAGATCATGACCTGAGCCGAAACCAAGAATCAGATGCTTAACTGACTGAGTCACACAGCCGCCCCACCTCCAAACTCTTTTTAACTTTATTTTCCTTTTCACTTTTTAGGAACTGGTTTGTGGGACAGATTCTTCCCCTTTCCATAAAGTCCAAATGACAGTGTACAGTTTGGTCTGGTGATCATGCCTGATTCTTCTTTCCCATAGGAACATATGATGTCATTTTGCAGTTAAAACATTCGATAATTCATTTCACAAACTTTTATCTAGTGCCTATAATATGCCAGACACAGTGATATTGTGGGGACATGAACACAGATTTTAAAATTTAGTGGACCATATTTGTGCCAACACTAAATAGTGTTTATCAAGTGTCCATGTATATATATATATATACATTTGGCTCTGCGAAACTTTTTCTTTCATAGAAAATATACAGTTTAGTAACAAATTATGATGATTCGCTGACTAATTTCACTCTTACCTAATAGGAAGCAAAATTGCCCAAATGTACATTTTATACAAAGGATTTAGGATTTTAAGGAAAAGCACAAATGTCATAAGGATTAAGTGGTTATCTCCAGTTTTTCCATGAGTATTCAATGGAAACGATAGGGTGTTCCTTAAAAGTTCTATACTTACTCATCTCTGCAAACAGCTGTCTTCTTTCTGCCATGGTATTTCCTCTTTTCCCACTATCTTCAATCATTCTAGGAGACAAAATGGTTACAGTGTTATTACCCTCATGCTATTGAGGCAAAGAGCCATTTCTATGTAAACACACTTGCTGTAGTTATGTCACAGACACAAACTATTTAAAACTGTGTATTTAAGAAATGTAGCTTTAGTTTCACTAATTTAAATCACCAAACATATTTTTCCATACACAGTGTTGTTGTAATTGTTAGAGGAGGTATAAAATTTTTATTTTCTAACATAAAAATAACTACAATGGCAGATGACCTTGTGCCAGACTGAATTCAACCATCCACCATCTGTTAGGTGGTTCATTTCCCATATAGTTTCTCTTTCAATTTGGGGAATACCTATGAAGAATATAGAGCAGATATTACAGATTCCATTCAAGAAATGATGATATTGAGAATCTCATGAGATTTAGTAAAGTTAATGGTGAAAACATTTGGACTCCAAGACCAGTTTGCCTTCCACCATATTCTGCTGCAAGTTGTCCCTGTGCACCCCAAACCCTAGTTTGGATGCAGGTTATTTTCTAAATATTGATCTCTAAGTTGAGTGTTTGGAACCTGCAACGGTTTTTCTATGCATAATAATTTCATGCAAGGTGGTTAGGTTCACACCTCTCTGCTTAACTATACTACTGTCTGCAGTAATCATTTAAAAGTGCTATGAAAATGCCAACAGATAAAACAGAGAATCAAAAAATGTTTAAAATAATTAAAATTTGACTGGAGGAGAAAGAAGATAATGAGAAAGTTAATGGAAATGTTGTTTAGCTCGATAGAGGAATTTGGGGTAAATATTAAGGGTTTTACAGGTTGATGGAGTTGATTTTTTATTGTATCTAATTAAACTTTTGAAAAACTAAAGTTTCCTCTCTCATACATGCAAATACATATACACATATACCACCATGTTCTGATTCTCAGGGGCAGTAAACAGAAGGCATAGCTGATCTTTTTGCCTGTCTTTCAATGGACCCTGCTCTTTCTCAAATATGGTTTTCTGTCTGTGCTATTTTTTTGGTCCAGATTCCCTGCTCCCTATGCCTGGCTAATTTGCAATAACCTTTCAGCTCTTAGTTTAGGTGGATCTTCCTCTGAAATCCTCCCTAATTCTATAATTGTCTGGGTTTGGTGCCTTTCCTCTGAGCCTCCACAGCCCAATATCCCTTTTTCTCAATGCTGAAAATTCACTTAACAAATCTTTACTGAGTGCCTTCTATACTCCAGGAACCAAATTAAGTTCTAGGTATACAACAGTGATCAAGTCACAGTTCCTACCCCCAAGGTGCTTACACTCTAGTCAGGGAGATACAAAAGTATGGAAGTAATGAAACCACAAGAAAGTAATCATAGCCATAGCAGTGGAAAGATATGTGAGTGTGAGAGACATTGACTACCTGGGGGTAAATTTAACAGAACTGGGTTGCAGAAGACAGGTCAAAAGATAATAGAGCTGTGTACAGAATAACTCACCTAAGGGTAAAAGAAAATATTGGTGAAAACCAATGTGATGCCAGTTATTCTGGTCAAAGAGCCTCACCAGTTGTTTCTATGAGTGAGGGAAGATTTGCCTACTGACAGGAAGGGAAAGAAGGGCATGGAACAGCCTTGGTTTACAGAGTTTAGGGAAGAGTGTGTTCCCATTCATGATGGGTGATGATGTACCCAGGGTCTGGCCTAAATAATAACTGGAAAAGAATGGGGTTATTAAAGAAGTGTCTTCAATTTGGTAACAATTCAGTGCTGAACACAGTCAAGTACTTTCTTTTTATGATTTTGAATATGCAGGTATGGTTGGTATATAGAGATCACACCCTTCCTGATTCACAGAACCCCATCTCCTTTATTCCAGAGGAAGTGGGTAGATAATAATCTGACATTCACAAAATAGTCTGGATACAGCTTCCAATTTTTATTTCAAGAGCTTAGAAGTCGTGTTGAAGCAATAGAGAGATAGAGGATAGAACCAGTGATATGTTCCTGCATCTGTCTGTATGTTGGAATGAGATGAAAAGAACTGTTAAAAATAAATCACAAAGGATGGCAGGCTGGAAAGCTCTGATTGAAAATGTCAGGGAAGGAAAGACTGGCCTCCAAACCCACAGCGCTTACTGCCTGTACCCCTCAATTGGTACCGTTTGTGACATCTCTTTTCTAGTTAACTTTTTGTGTGTTTCTCTGTAAGGTTTTTGAGGGTGGTGACTTCAAACATTTTAAATTCTTCACAGTGCCTAGCAAAATCCAATCACTAAATGATATGTCCAGTTAGTATTTATTGAAAAAAAAATGAATGAAACAAAAAAAAAATAGAGGAAAGAACAGTAAGAGCTAAGTTTGCTCTCCCTGAAATGAACTTTTAAAGGTATTTCCCAAAACTGATTCACAGAAGAGTTCAATTCAGATTGCACTAGTTTCAGAAATTAATTATTTGAAATGAAAGAGCCTAATTTTTATCTCTTATAATCTAGGACCATACCTTTTAAAGCAAAATCTTGTCTTATGAAACAGAAGCTAAAATAGATGCAAACTACATTGATGTCACCGTTTGGTCTATTCATCATCATTTTGTGATTAATTAACTCATGAAAGAACCATAATTAGTTATATAACAGGAATTAATTCTCACTTCTAAGTAAAATGTGTACCTTATAAGGACAAGAAGGAAAAACTCAGTCATGTGAAATAATAGAAAGCATGGAATTTAATTATAAATACAAAAGGAAAACAACACATTTCTCGTTTCACCACTTCCCTTTCCTGGGAAGCAGCACTATTAGATAAAATTGAGAATACACATTTATTACCCATTGATCACAGTCATAATAGTAAAAAGGGAAGGCATGCTAGTTTACTGATTACATGGATTCAACAGAGGGACTGATGGACAGAGTCTATTCATGAATCGAACTGGCAAGGAGCACCACCATGGGCTCCTTAGTTTCCAATTTAACTCTGATCAGTGGGACTTGATATACATAATGCTTGACTTTCTTCTTAGCAAGAATGAAGAGCAAAACTTTCAGGAGGGGAAGGTGGGAGGGTTTTGCAGAGAGCAATTTTGCTTCTGAAATTGTCACGAAGCTCTGCTTTTCATGAATTTCAGTATTACAACAGCTGCCCAAAGTCATATAGAGGAGATGAAGGGGATAAGAACCCATCTTTGAGATACTAACATCACAAGGTGTGTGGCTCACCAACAGGCCTAATTTGGTGAGTTTCAGTTACTCCTTCATGTAGACAAGATGCTTGCAACCTTAGAATTTACCAGATTGCATAAATGTCAAAATAGCAAAAGGAACTAACAGGTGATGAATAAGTGATGAGCCCCATTAAGTCATTTCCTTTACTAGGGTTCAGTCCCATGAATTATACAGGGTGTGCATTGTTTTCACTTATAAGAATCTATCCATTTCATTTACTTAAGAAATATTTATAAGGTAGCTATAATTTGTCAGATACTCTGCTAGTTTCTCAAGATCCAAAGATGAATAAGACATGATCCTTGCTTTTAAGAAGCTCACAGTTTAGAAGGAGAAACAAATTATTCCAAATGAGAATTGTATTTGGCGTAATATGTACAATAATAAAAATACATACTAAATATAGTAATTTACTTCTGGGAAATCTGAGGGAGGCATCGAAGGGTGACTCTGGAACAGAGTTTATAGGACAAACAAGAATTTTCCAGATGGAAATGAGTGGAGGAAATGGTAATCAGAGTTAGAGGTAATCATGGAAAAAAACATGGAGCTTTAACAAGAATATATGGGAACTGGGAATAATTCAGTATTGCTGAGTGCAAGTGTGAGCAGAGACGCCAGAACAGGCATCAGATCTAGAAGGTCTATTCTCACATCTGGACAGTGTAGGGCTTTCCAGAAGATCAGATGGCACCATGGTTAAGTAGGAAACTGATGTGTACAGATTTAGGTTTTGGCAAGGAGATTCCAGCATACTGAGTGGAGGAAAGCCCAGGCAGGTGGGAGGGTAGGGATGGGAGCACATGATTAAGGGAAGAGTCCAGTTTGCTGGAAATTTCTGTGATTCAGGAGCAAGAATATTATGTCTTACACTAAAGGATTGATTTGAGATACAGGGCATGCAATGGGACTTGGTGATTTGCGGTCTCCGTGAAGAATGGTGGAGGAGGGCAACTCAGTCTTTGCTCTCCCACACCACGTCACACACTGGAGAAAGCAATCTGCTGCAGTAACGACTTCATAGAAAGTGAGCTCATCAAGTCACCTTGTTCCAGCATCGTCATGAAAAGGGGGCCACAAAATTGGACAGGGAAGGCTCCCGCTCTCTGCCACTATTTGTGGGGGACAGGCTAAATAACAGAGTAGAACAGTGAGGGAAGCAGCAAGAAATAGAGAATAAATCAAAATACAGGGCACAGAGTGTTAGAAGAAATGTGAATTGTATTTTGGCATAGTGAGAATAAGTTCACATTGAAATATCACATTCTTGAGTTACTTCCTTCATGACACTTCTTTAATCCAACATCACCCATACTAAACACACATTTCTATGCCACATGACATAAGAAGTTTTAAACGTAAAATCTTAAACTGATGGTGTCTTACATTTGTATAACTTTCTGAAGATTATAAAATGCTTCTCCCATATAACCTTGTGAAGAATTTGGGGAGATATTATTATTCCCAGTTACAGCCGAAGAACTTGAGACTCAGGCGGGTAAAAAAATATTTCCCAAAAAACACATTTTCTGGAAGGGGAAGACATTTAATCCATTCTTTTTGGCTTTTAATTTTTAAATTCCTAGGCTGGGATGAATTCTAATCGCCAGTAATCTTACTCCAGCTGCCACTGTTCAGTACAGATTAAGATTTCCTGAAACTAGTAAGTGAAAAGAAGTTGCTAGAGCTTGGTGATTGACAGGCCAAAAGAAGGCGGAGGGGAAGGGTCCACAGCTCTCTCAAACTGCAGGAGAGATTCCTTCGGGTGCTCCTCCCTAACGGAATCCTCCTATTCTAAGACAGTG